CATTGGGATGTGCAGGTCAGGCTTGAGTTCAGATCTTTTCATAGTATAATTCTTTCAGAATGAGAAGTTTCAGAGGTAGGAAGAGGTGGTCATACAAAATAGATGTTTACTGTGGAACTTAAAAAGAAACATACACTCGGGGTCATAGTATGTCATTGCATAGATGCTAAACAGATTAAGTATTTAAGAAAAAAGCCCCCATCTCTGACTGTTAAATCTAAAATTTATACTTTCAACATGAAAACAGTAAGAAGTTAGATAATATTCAAACATATTCAAACATCATTCTGTACAACTCCAAGACGACAGCACAAACAGCATATTTTATCATGCTAAGGTCTATGAAGAATTGCATCTACACAAGACTTTCCAGGTCACCCCCATGGAAAACTAAAGAAAGTATATGGATAGGCTCACAATGACAAAACATTTGTGTTAATAATTGTTTCTAGATATTTCCTGTTTATTCCCATTAACTTCGTATCTTACTTTCCTCTCCCCATGTGCCTTTAAATGTTAAAGTTTCTGAAATGTTGCTTTTACCCATCACAACTTATGTGCTGTTACCTAAATAAGAAGAGACAAACATAAGCATTGCATTACGAATATTATCTACTCAACAAACCAGATATCGAAAGAAGGTGAATTTAGAGTACATGTTGTAATACATTTTTAATCTCCAGAAAAGCTCTGAGATAACATTGAAAATTCAAAAAGCAACACAAGGAACAGATGCAAAGTCTCATTCCTGACTTTTTTACATATCCAAAGCTGTTTAATGATAAAAGCATTTATGTGTAAAATGGCATTCACTTGCCCTTACTAAGAGTATATATGGAAGAGCCCCCTGTCAATGTACCAGTGTGCGTGTGGGAATGAAACATAAGGATCACCATCTGCAGCTGTCTAATAAGTGTTCTTCAGTGCCTAATGGCAAAGTGTCAATTCAGGGATCCTCAGATACCACAATGCATCATCTTGTCCATGCTAGTCTTACAAGTCAAACATTTCGCATGTGAGAACAGTTTATTTATAATGCTATTCGTTTCAGTTGAAATACCAGATATAAAACAGTTACACTACAAGCAGTCTGGGTGCATATACTTAATATAAAATGCACCATTTTCCTCTCTTTTCTAAGAATCAGTATTTTAAAGGATGTGCAAAATTTAACCCCTCACAGAACATACCTTAATAACATGGAAAGAATCTTTTCATATGCAAATATTTTTAGATTCTTACCTACTGTTGAACTTCTCCGGATGTTTTTCTCTCATGATATGGAATCTGTGGGCAATTGAAGCGTCCTAACAGGAAAAAGAAAACCGTAAATCTATCGTGACAGGAAAATCACAAAACAGAAGACCAAAACTGTAAACAGGGCATATCATTTGTAAGGTGTTTTGTGAACTGTCATTTTCAACAACAGCAATACTCGTATCACTTAGAAAGCTTACAGGTACACTGTTCCAAGAATGGGATATATCTGAACTTAATAATTTATTACACTTGTTACAGGCTCCATTATTCCTTTTTACATATCAGACATGATAGTTACGTTTACTGAAAGTGTCTCTGTAGAGCAAGTATCATCCATATCGGGTGAATGTTTACAATAAGACCATTCGTACAGTTCTTTCTTGTTGGAATACTAAATAAAGTCTAAGAAATGTACTCCTTTAGTAAAGGTGAGTGATAGATTCAGCAGAGTTACTTTATACACATACAGCTTGATATTTGCATATGGCCATTCAATAGCTTTCTCTAAAATTTGGTAGAAAATGGGAATAAATGCCAGGAGATGCCCCATTTGCTATAAGTCAGGGCATGAAATCATATGGGGGAAAAATGGATTTTTAATATAAAAAAGAGACTTGTTAATGAAATATATTTTATCAAAATATTTTTAAATGTAGCAAATTATGCTAATAATACATTTAAATAATGTGTATGTGAAATGAAATAGTTGTATGAAATACTTGCAAGTGTGTAACATTTTAAAAAGAATCAAACCATTGTGGTGGTGGGAGTTGCTGAAAATAGAACATTTGGAACTGACGTGCTAGCATCAGTTTTCACAGCATTTTTATATCTTCTTTGCAGGTATGAAAATAATGTTTTCCTCATTCCAGATCATGTAATATTTATTTCACATACTAATTCATTAAAAATTTACAAACTGGGAATTAAGAAAGTAAAAAGTTTTTTCATCTCTTGATGTATGTATTAAATGAGGTGTGTGAGTATGAAATCTACCAAATCTTCATTCTTGCAGGAGATAGTAAACACAGAGAAATCCATTTGGATCACGTTTTTATAATTATGTCTTAAAATGCTGCATATATAAGAATATAAATGTAAGAAGAGTTAGTTCAGTTAGTAAGAAATTTAAATTAATTCCAGTTTCCATGTAGAGTTTGACAAATCTACAAATAAAACTATCACTATAATCAACTATTGCGTATACGAAAAAATACATTATTTCCCAACTTAAAAGATTATAGAAATATAAAAGCTAAGAATTTGAGAGAAGTATTAAATTCAGTATGAAGCCTGTATCTAGCAACATATTATTTTCAAACCATCAGAATTAGCATTTGGGTGAAAAAAAAATTAAATACTTTACTTAAATTTTATTGTATTTCTGATTCCAAACATGATTAAAATACTTTGTTTAAAATAATTTTTATTTAAAGTAATCAATGTTAATATAAATCTCAAATAAACAAGCAAGGATTTTGTGCAGATATATAGGTACCCACTTACATTAAACATGGCTGCAACACTTTATGACTATGATAATTTTTTATTTACTAGAATATTAAGCTGGGCACCCTCTGGAGAATAGACTGGTCCAACCTTCAGGTTTGGTTTACTGGCTTGCGGGTACTTTGAAAAAATAAACGTATGAACTTTAATACCACGTCAAAGATAAAAATGTTGAGATAAACTGATAATATTTAAATAAACTTATAAGATTATGAATAAAAAAACAATAAATAAGTCATAATATTTTACACACACTCTACCTACATAAGGATGTAGCATAGCAGAGAATTTTTGGGCAAAACTTGTGACCACTGATCAAATAAAACCATCTAATGGCGTCACTAAATGTATTGGCTCCATTGAAATATTCACTTTTATTCATGATCTTATTATGTAGTTTCTAAAGATGTAGATATTTTGTTGCTTTATGCACATCACATCATTATTTATTTATTTTTCTATTATCTTTAAGAATGGAATTGTCATTTAACATTTTACTGTCCTATCAGGAAATGACTGCAAAAACCCCTAGTGAATGAACCGGTGTTAGTCATAAAATGCCTTATTGTTCTGTCCTGTCACCCAAACTGTCATCTGAAACTTTCAGTGCTACATTCTCAAACTGCACTCATCATTACTTTAAATTTATTTTTATGTGCAATGCAATTTTATAAGGCAAATATCCACAAGTATCCAGGTGATCCCACAGTTCTTGGAGACGGATGAAATAAAGCTGACAGTAAACCCTAAGACATCACACTTCTAAACAAAGCCTGCCAGCTGAGCTAAAATAATAACTCTGTTAACTTTAGAAAGACCCATCATTCATACTTTATCCCACATTAGATGTGCCAATATTAGAAAAGTATATTTGTTAGCCAGTTCTATATGAAAAAGAAATAAAAGCACTACTGTTGTGGTTAACTGTTAATTTTCTACACGCTGAAGCAAAAGAAAAAGACAGACCTAAGACAAAATTAATAAAGGAGTAGTAGCATATTTGACAGAAACTAGGAAACACTAATCAAGGACTAACTGTCTAATGAATGAAATGAAAAGGCTAATGTGCTTACTCATGCATAACAAATGCAAGGCACAAACAAGCTAGGGATCAATGCCCACTGCAGATGGCAAACAGGCAGTTGCTTCCACGCAAGGTTGATTTGATCAAAATTTTCCCCTGCCTGAATATTTTCTGACTCCAAGATGGATCAATTAACTTCATGAGCTGAGAGGTAAAAAAAGTAATACACAAAGCTAATTTTGACAAGCACAACACGACAGGCACATGTAAGACCAGTTTCATACAAAAATTGTTGAAAGGCTATTTTTATTAATGGAGGCTGTAAACCATAGTAGTAACTGCGCACAGAAAAACTCAGAAGTAGGGGAGTTGCTAAGGCTTTCTTTAGTTTATACTGCCTAACTGCTCTTTTGAACCCTTCATTGAGTCCAACGTAGAGAGTCCTCAGGTTCCCGAGCACAGGGACCTCTTCCCAACCATAACTCCACGCCATAGGAAAATCTGAAACCAGCCCATGCTGGTTGTGTGTTAGCAAAATAATCCTTTGCTTTAAGGGAGAAAAGAGAAAAAAAGAACTACACTGAGTTTTCTGTTTTTCAAATGTCTATCATCTTTTATTTGTTAAGATAGTAGCATACAGACTAGTATAAATAAATGAAAAACACCTGGAAGAATTGAAAGTAACAGGAACTTGAGAATGGGTATGAATGCAAGTTCTGTCTCCTAAGAGCTACAGGAATTACCAGATGCCATCCCTGAATCCTGAGGAACAACCATTAGAAGTTTTGTATTTCTGGATGAGGAGAGCAGAGCGTCCTTCATTGTGAGCTGTTTTGGCTACATTTGAAATAGGATTCATTTTAGCAGACTTCATTCAGCCACTTCATTCTAGCCTAGCCTATTTAGAGCATACAACTGTTGCTGGACCAATGGAGAATTAATTAATTTTAAATATTTTTTATATTAAAATCACCTAATTAACTACGCTAAGAAGCAGAGCAATATCCACATGTATGGGAAGCTGAATATTGTTTGCATATTGTTGCTTTAATATGCTGACCTTTCCTGGTACCTGATATTGTGGATGGCCAGTAAAATATGAGAAATGATTTTTGTATTTGATAATAAAACTGATGTAAAAGAGAAAACCCAGGAGTTTTCACATCCTTCATGATATTACCTAGCAAGGTAACAAGTGAACAGGTATTTTTAGAAAGGTCATTTGACAGTCAGATACTGGTCTATAATTAGTATCAACTGTGGGCATTATTTATTAATGTTTATTAATAAATTCATATGTATGTTAGCCTGAAATACAGTTTTCCAGCAGCACTATACCTGAATCTAAATATTTTCCATTTTTAAAAGTAACACACCACAAGTGCACATAAACATGCCTAAAATTTGCAAGAGCTTTATTATTAATAATAATCTGAGGAGACACAATGCTGTCAGGTCTGTTGCAAGGCGAAAGGAGGAGGAAGGTCTTACGGGATCGTTGTAATATGAAACTAGCACCTTTCACTACACCCATACTTCAGTCACAAAGCTCATTTTATACTTAAGGCATTGTAGTATTTTTCACCAAAGCATTCAAGAATGGAGATTTTTTTCAGGAACACTTTTGCATCAAAATGCTGGTGCGCAAAGTAATGCTGAATACAGAGCATTTAAAAACAGAACTAAGTAACTAATCAGACAATTTTGTGCTTCTGAGAATATTATATGAATATTTGAGTTGTATGCTACTATTCTAAAATACTTCATTTCTAAGATATACAGTATTTTTACAGTCATTTACATGTCATATGCAATATATGACAATAGCCTAGATGATGATAATTTCTCTGAACCTTCATGTCATAGTATCACCAATCTAATCTGAAAAAAACTACCAGACCTTGTTCTCTTTTGTATGCCTCTCTAGTTTAGATGGTTTCCACTCACTGCTGTAGCATTTTGAAAGTAGAGATGGAGGAATGGGTGTTTGAAGAACACAAGATGCAGTTTATCCCAGTTTAAATTCAACAAAATTATAAACAGACTCTTAAAAAATGTACCTCTCTATCTCCCAAATATTCAACCTGGACATATGTGTGATGAACATGCAGATATATACACATATATACACCTTTAATTTGAACCTGTTCAGAGTCTGAAGTAGCTGGACGATCCTTCTTATATCTCACTCAGGTTTGTTTTAAATCCTGACAGTGAAGATAAGATAGAGAACAGACAGAGCATATCTGAATCTACTCCTAGGAAATGGAAAAAATATTTTAATTGAACTAGCACATTTCTCAAAGTGACCTGCCAAGAAGAAAAGAAGCTTAAGTTGCTACACCTCTTTAATACCTTATGATTGACTTACACACATATATATTCATCTTTTTAATGGGTATTAGCATTACCGGAAAGCAATCTGAAGCAGTCTTTTCAGAGGAGTAACCTTATACATTGTGAATAACCTTATAGAAAGATTAATGCATTTAATATATGTCTATCTATAAGCTT